TAAATAAATTAGATAAGGAGAGAAACTCCTTTAGCTTCTCCCTTGAGCCCTGGCCAGGTTCTGGGGGGAATCTAATGAGAGTGAAACCAGATGTTCCGCTCAAAGCAAAGGTGTCAGTTATTCTGGCTTGCTGATTTTTAGTAAATAAGGCTGGACTCACTTGCAGCGACTTTGGAAGCCTCACCTACGGGTGGACGCACCATGTGGGATTTCCCACTGGCCGGGACAGGTTCCCCAAACCCTCGCTGTAACCGGGGCTGCCCAGCCACTGCGGGTCTGGGTGATGGTAACGTGTGCAAGTGGTGATGGATCTTTCTAAAAAACTATTCTCTTTCTCAGGTAGTAATGATTTGATGCATTACCCTGTATTTTCCTATTTGTTTAAGCGTGCTGTTCTGTCTTTTCTTACTGTATGTTTTCTGTATTACTCTGTTACATTATTTAGTTATTTTAAGTAAAATATGCCTGCTCTATTCACTCTGGTGTCTGAGTTTAATTGCTATCCCTAATCAGCAAAACGCATGTTAATGATGGAATTGTGGCTGTTGCTTTTGATAAAGGAGAAGGGATGTTTTAAAAACCTGTCTATTATGATTACACTGAAGGCACTAGCCAGGAGAGGAACAGAATTCATTCATTTGAAATTCTCTCATAGAAAAGACTATAGCAGTATCAGATGACATAGGCATATAAAGCACAAAGGTGGCTTTAAGATACCTCTAACTTCTATTTTTCAAATCAAGAACAACAAAGTCAGCATTTGAATCTCCTAACTGGTTTTGTAGTCAGCTTTGAGAATAGTGTGAAGGAAGATTTTTTGCAAGGGTAGAGTTAGAGAGTATACTAATAAAATACAGAAGTCAAGGATTAATCATTACTGAGGAAAATCATGGTTCTTCTTCCAGATACAAAGAGACTTTATCCTGCATTTCCTTTTCCGACACACAATATTCAAGTGGGATCCAAAAAGGAAATAATCAAGGCTAGTTTTTTTACTTTCTGTCCATAGCAAAAGAACAGACAATATTTGTCTTGACCCACAAACAGCAGATAAGACAAAGATATAGTGTTATGGTTTAGTGGAAGTCACAGTTAGATCATGTTAATTAAAGGAATATGTAACAGATTTCAAAACTTTATAAGGCTTTATCAACACTTTAATAAGGAAAATTAGTCCCCTTCATCGCATTTGGTTTTAAACGGCACTTTCAAGTGCAACTGCCGCATCAAAAAAATTATTTTGCTTTACTGCCATCTTGTGGCTTAACCAGGAAATGCACGTAAAAATGGTACAATTGCTGGTTGTGAAGAGATTGCTTTTTAAATACTGTTTGGCCTAAGCCGTGCTCCAGACCACTACCCCTTCTCCCTAAACAGCATGACAGCTTGCAGCAGCATGGATCTTCAGTTCAATTAATTTCTCCAACAACTCAATCCCACAGAAAGAAGTTGTTTCGACTAGCTCAGATCTCACTGTGGAGGCAAAGGGCCGTTCTTTCTTCTAGACACTGTTCACTTGACCCAGGTATGGCTAAGGTAGTGACTGTCTTACTGCATTCACACTTCTTAATATATTAGTTTGAAAGTGATTATGGGAGAAGTGAGCTGAATTCTACTCTGGCTCAATCATTAGCAGAGACAAATGCTACCAGTGCTATACCAGTGAAACATGAAATATTTTCAGCTGCGCTCCTCACCATCTGGAAAGCTGCATTTAGGAGTATGTATGAGTGCTAAGAATCCAATCATAGCCTTTCAGGTTTATTTTGCATTTACAGGGAATGGTCAAGGCAGCTGATTTAATACAGTTCATATTAGGCAAACAAACATGAAATCCTAATGCCATTTCCACAGTTATATGTGAGCCAACCAGCACAGAATAAATAAAGACTTCCTCTCTATCCCCCTCTGATGGAAAAGCAGCACACTGTACACTTAGCCAAATGCAGCCAAAGAAGTTAACTGGTTGAAGATCAGACATCAAGAATAGAGGTTTTCTACAGAGGTTTTTCTGTTGTGCCTTATTTTCTAAAAAAAAAAATAAAATGCAAGAATCACTAGCTAGCTGACTGTCTAGAATGACTTCACTGACTGAACTTCCCAACAGCAAAACAAATGTCTTCATTTTATTCATACCTAAGAAATATTTATATTAAAAAAAAACATTTTGCCCATGCTGGATCAGAAAAAGCTTCCTACAACAGGTGTGTAGTCAGCTGGATTTAGTGGCTTATGTGACAGTGGATGAATAATATTTGTGCATGTTTTTAGCAGGAAATAAACTCGTAAGAGTCAAGATTTCACTGGCTGATGTTCCAAGAGAGTCAGACTTCTCCAGTAGTTTTCCTGACAGTTGAAATGCTATGTTAGTCTGACTGAAAACACCAGGAGTGGTTAAGGGCAAAACACTTCTGCCGGTCTATCATTTAGTGAGAATTTTTTGGGGGCCATATTTCATATGAGTTGGTAGAAAGTTTTGTTTTTTTTTTTTTTTTAAAAAGAAGTTTTAGTTAAATATCAAGCCTGCTGTGAAACTTGCAGAGTGCTCTATCCAGGACATTTTCAAGACCATGATTTTTCAAAACAGTCTCTTCTGGAAGTTCAATTTTCAACTGGATACTCATATTTTTATTTCCCTGACAGTAAAAAAGTAACTGCAGGATTTCTCACAAGATCCTCATAAAGCTGTTGAAGTATGGGCTGGATGAACAAACAGTGAGATGTACTGAAAACTGGCTGAACAGACATACCCAGAGGATGGTGATCAGTGGCACAAAGTCTACATGGAGCAGTGTGCCCCAGGGGTCAATACTGGATCCAATTCTGTTTAACATCATCATTAAATAACTAGATGATGGGATACAGTGCACTCTCAGCAAGTTTGCAGATGACTCCAAATTGTGAGGACGGGTTGACACACAGACAGTCATGCTGCCATCTGGAGACACCATGACAGGCTGGAGAAATGGGCCAACAGGAACCTCATGCACTTCAGCAAGGGAAAGTGCAAAGTCCTGCACCTTGGAAGGAACAACCCCAGGCACTAGTACATGCTGCGGGCTGCCCAGCTGGAAAGCAGCTTGGCAGAAGAGGCCCTGGTGGACACCAAGTTGAACTTGAGGCAGCAACACTGGTGAGACCACACCTGAGGTGCTGTGTACAGTTCTGGGCTCCCCAGTATAAGACAGACATGGCCACCAAGATGATGAAGGGACTGGGGCATCCCTTCTAGGAGGACAGGCTGAGAGAGCTGGGACTGTTCAACCTGGAGAGAGAAGGCTCAGGGAGATCTCATCAATGTATATAAACACCTGAAGGGACTGCAAAGAAAGCAGAGCCAGGCTCTTTTCAGTGGTGCTCAGTGACAGGACCAGAGGCAATGGGCAGACACTGAAATGCAGGAGGTTCCCTCCTAACATCAGGAAATACTTTTTCCCTGTGAGGGTGACTGAGCACTGGCACAGGTTGCCCAAGGAGGTGGTAGAGTCTCCATCCTTGGAGATATGCAAAAGCCATCTGGACATGGTCTTGGGCACCCAGCTCTAGGTGGCCCTGCTTGAACAGGGGCTTTCACCAGATGACCTCCAGAAGTCCCTGCCAGTCACAACCATTCAGTCATTCTGTGATTCTATGTGTCTGCAGTTTAGTTTTAAAGGCCATGTTTTTTGTGCAACACAGAAGGCCTGGGTTTAGGAAGTCTGAGCCTTACTATGAAATTTAGTGCCCGTGCAAAGGTGCCAAACCTCTCCCAGTGTTTTAATGAAAAATTAGCAAGAGTCAGCTCAAAATGTGTGGTTTAAAGCCATATATTGAGAACACAACCATGTCCAAAGCGTTCATTTGGGGAGCCAGCATTGGCCAAAATGAACAACATATTACCACACAAAGATGATCAATTGTCCCCACACTCTAACCCCCTACTTCTTGCCCCATTTCTTACTCTGACCTTCCAAGAACTGGGTCTTTTTGCATGAATGTTGCCCAATGTGATTCTGTTGAACTGAGTTGTGTGAAGTCCAGCGAACAATGCAATTCTGCATGAAACAAGCAGTTACACATACTTTGATGTTTGCTACAGCTGTGGGCTGACCACAGTTGCTGCCTTCTTCTTAAGAGTCTGGTCTGCCTGCTGCTGCTTTACAGAGCAAAGCAAAAACTTCAATACTTCCTTAAAAACCTGCTCAAACACATTGTGAGCACTGGTGACTGAAAACAATAGTATTGCAGGCTTTCTCACTGCAATGTGTCACTTGCTGTGAAGCCCTTCATGGGTGGGCAAACATTCTGTTTTCAGTTTCAGATGCTGTGACAAAAGTCATAGCTAAGAGCAACGTGGAGCGCTGACCCAGGGAAGACACTCTTCACCGCCGCTGCCCACTGTATCTGCACTTGCAGGACAGGTCTCCGCTAACAGTGAATCCACAGGACACTTCAACCAGAAAGCTGCAACCCTGTGTAAACCTTTAGATAGAGTGAAAAAGCCTTCCCAAAGTGACAGTAACAGGCCACACGTGAGATGAGCCTGGAGCTGTAGCCAGGTGACTGAGGCTCGGTCTGCTCCCAAGTGGATGCAATGATGCTGTCTTAACGTGCTGTCACCGCAGACAGTCGAGGCCAGCCCGGTGTTACCAGGGCAGCAGCTGGGTCCCGCCGGGGCCCGTCTCGCTGCCCCGGTGAGGCGACGCGAGGCCACGCGAGGTGGGTCCGCGCAACGGCCACTGCACCCCGCCGGGCCCACCCGGCGCAGAGGCCGAGCTCTCGGAGGCTGCCCTGTGGCGCCTATGCCCGCCCCCTCCCATCACTCCACTCCCTCCACCCAATCAGAACGCCGCGCTCCTCCTCAGCAGCGAACGGGAGGGCGCCCTCCTTCCTCCGGCTCGTGACGCCACGGCAGTGACA